GTGGGATCAATTCAGCATACATACCCATCAACAAAAAAAATCACTGTGACAGATGTCATGTGACCACAGTCATGGCGGCAAATTTGATAAGTTCGCCTTAAATATGTGAAAAGTGGGGTAAGACGACCAGAAATCGAAAAATTGTAGAGATAAATTGGTTCAGGATCCGATTTTACGTCAATGTGTCAATTTTTAAAAAGGTACAAGGATTTTTAATAAATATCAATTTTTTGGCCTGTTTTCTGGAAATTTCAAAAATATCGAAAACATTTCGCAAAAATATTGGCTTGATTAAATTTAGGAAAGAGGTATTGGATCATTTAGAAAGATTTCATTGATAATTCTTGATTTGTTATTCCAAATTTTTGTTTTCTGTAGGTCATTGCAACAAGATCAGAGTGGTCTGGAAATGAATTATGTGAACCAGGCGAAAAGTTTTTGATATTTTTCAAATTACCAGAAAACAGGCCAAAAAATTGATATTTTCTAAAAATCCTTGTACCCTTTTAAAAGTTGATACATAGACGTAAATTCGAATCCTGAACCACTTTTCTCTCTACAATTTTTCGATTTCTGGTCATCTTACCCCACTTTTTAGGGCGAACTTTTTAAAGGACCACGCACGGACCTTATGAGAAAAAATAAATTTCACGATTGCCATGAAATTGAAATATGTTATGCTTCTCGACCTCCTGTAGGCCCAAGAAGATCCTATGATTAGTTTCGGAGATACAGGGCCGGGTTAACATACAAAATTTTGACAAAAAATAAACATTACCAAATATCTTGTGTTCAGACAATGACATATTCTAGGTTAAAAACGGGTGGAAAAATGCCAAAGAATGTCATCTGAAGGTTTGAAGGTAGAAAACTTGTCGAAAAATGCCAAAAATATGTCATTTTTGGTTATGAATTAAATTAATGTACCAGCAGATCCTGGAAATCTCCAGGATAGTACAAGTAGTACAAGAAAATTTTTTCTTGTACTACTTTTTTTTATCGGTCCTGTATCTCCGAAACTAATCATAGGATCTTTTTGGGCCTACGAGAGAACTTACGTTCAGGAGGTCGAGAAGCATAACATATTTCAATTTCATGACAATTGTTAAATTAATTTTTTGTCATAAGATCCGTGCGTGGTCCTTTGCCACCATGACTGTGGTCACTTGACATCTGTGACAGTGATTTTTTTTTGTTGATGGGTATACTGAATCGATCCCACGTAACATTTTTTTTGATATCTTAATAATAAAATATTTTCCCATTTGTTGCAAACTTTTTGGCGGTCACTGTATATACGCCCACTTATAATACCGTGAATATCTTTTTAACCAGTTGAGAAAAGTTTGCCTTATATCTTCGATAATGGAATTTTTAGTACATGAGGAAAATATACGGTCCCCATTTTCGATAATCTGATTGTCTAGAGAGACTCGAATGCTGTAGGGTTCCTCATTTTCGTCTTGTTGATATTCGCTTCTAGGCCTATACTCTTGGAAGCTTTATTTAGCTATTGTACTAGGGTACTAGGGGAAATGCCTAGTTCGTCTCCAAACTATAACAATCTCATCAGACTCAGAAACGTCCTGGCAATATAAAACCCTTTTTGTTACCACTCTAATTTCAAGGCCAGCGCCAAAATGAACATTTTGTGTCTCCTTGTACTCCTCGATTCATTTTCATCGATTATTACGTGGTGTAACATGAAATGTTACTGTGTTTTTTTTCCATATATTATTTTATAAATCAAATTGCCGTCTTGAATCTTGACCGTCTGGTGGCTGCCATTGTTAAGAGAATGTTCCTTTCGCCAATAATAATAGCAATCATTAGCCTAGAGGGCACGCTTTCCGTTCAAATTTGAAGTACCAGTTTGGTACCAACACTTCCCGTTAGCTATTTTTTGAAGTTCTGCTTGTTCAGCTTGTCCTATTCTTCATCCCTTTCAAATTTTACCGTTCGCCCTGAAAGGTCGATCCTGGCCTGGGGGCAGCCATCTTCATCAAGTGTGATTACCGTTCTCGTGGAAAGAAGTACCTTATCGGCCATCAGGCGCTAGTTTTATGGAATAAAGTTGCGGAAGGCAATGTTCCGTTAATTACCGAAAAATTCAATATCGTCTTGTGATTACCGTTCCATTTGAGTTTCAATTTCGAACCCCCTCGTGGTAAGTTCTTTTTAATTTTTTTAAAAGTAATGTTTGTTCATGGAATGCCTCTAAAATATTACTTGGGATCGTTCGAGGAGCCGCTTCTTTCGAGGAGCTCGTTTCTTTCCTAGAGGAATCAAGTCCCTTACGTGTGGACATCCTGTCCCTCAAGATTTGACGAAAACTGTGAACTTCTAGCCTCTAACTAGCTTGATTCAAGGCGAGAATCTGCAATTTCCATCTGCAACTTCCCTCGTCAAGGGACAGAAAATGGACGGCTACCGTGTTCTAACGTTTTCGTTGGAATTGAGGCTTGTATAAGGTTTCATTATTACCTAACTTTCACCTTTTTTATAAAATCTATTTTATTATCAATTACCATGATTAATTCAATTTCTTGAAGTGATATGACTGAGATATTAAAAATTTTCAAATTCGCCTTCTTGACACCAAAATGAAGGTTGGATAAGTAATTTTCTTGATTTTCGATTTATTGAATTTATTATTGAATTACTTTCAATTAATTTTTAGTACTGCCATATTTTAGGAATGCAAATTTTATCAATCAAAATCAATTATCCGAACTAAAGTCAAGGTTGGACAATATGTTCTTTCTGAATTTAATTTTTTTGGTACCAACATCGTCAAAAATTGGTGATTTGAATTTGATATCACCGTAGGAATATACACTATTTTAATCTGAAAATTACTTAGGTGTTTTATTGGTTTTACCTATGTCAAGATTTGGTTGAGTAATATGCCTTAACTATTCCCTTCTCAGAATTGTCAATTACCTTTTGCTAATTATTTTCTAGGTGAGTTGCTGAATTTTCACACTTCAATATTTTACGTAATTTATTTATTTATTTGTAAAAATTCAGTGGCGCTCTTGCCATTCTGTACTTATTTCTAACTATTGACCCATCTCTAATAATTATTCGTTGAGCAAACTGAGCATATTATAGGCCTCTTGTTAATTCGTTAACAAAAGGGGTTACAGTGCATAATTGTTTTCTCATAGACATTTTTATTAAGAGTTTACTATATCCTGAATCTATTCTAGCACTATCGAAGACATTCGAGAAAGACCACGTTTCTATTGATCGAATGCCCTGTGACAATCAATCAACGAATGTCAGACATATGTGGATATCCCATTCAGTAACTTTTCCCATTAGGGTACCTACGTAACGTCTGTAAATGTTGTGATGAAGCAGATTCGGATCCCTGCCTGTTTCACTGGCTAATAAAAATCCGGTTTTTCCGAGAGACGATTGGCAGGTGAAATTACAGAAATGTATTAAAGCAGTGGAGAATTTTGTTGTTTAGGAAATTTTCTAGCATTTCTAATCCGCTGTTTTGTTTTCTCCCAGACCGCAGTGACAACAAAATCAGAATCGTCAAGTTTCTTTCTCCCAATCTTTGCGTTAAAGTCTATGACTACATTTTTTCCATTTGTTTTGCGTTACCTATGTCTATACACAGTTGTTCTACATCTGCACCTTCTGAGAGTTTATGTTAATTACCTGAATCGCATAACGTTTATTCAGTTCTGAAGCTAAACATTCAAGAAAATTTGGTAACAAGCTAGAGTATTAGCTGATTCAGGTAATAGGTGGCATGGAAACCCTCCTGAATAATGGCAGTTTTTAATGCACTATAGCTCGTTTAAAACAAAACTCCTCCATCTATTCTAATACCATAGTTATCGATAATATTTGGGCTAAAATGCTCACCTATAATTTTGACGTAAGTCAATGATAATTATTTGCCAATTCAAATTTAGCCGACAAGTCATTTGATGTCTGTAACAAATTGATTTAATTTTAGGCGTAAACCTATTTCCCAAAATTAAACCAACTTGTGAAACAAACGGCATATATACTGATCGTAAGCTGAATGGACACCCCACATTTAGCTAATATTTCAACCATTCATTCATGAATGGGAAGATTGTCTCCCTAATATTCCATAATTCTCCAGCAACACTCGATAAATTAAAACATATGGCAACTGCATTATTTGTTATTTGAAAGGAAGGAAGGAAACGCCCTTTATGCCTCTCTCAGGTTTCTACAGAACAATTCCACAACTAAGGATTGAGTGCATATAAGTCTTAAACACTGTAAGTAAGGCGTTTCTGGAAAACTTTTTCGAGCAGAAATCTTATTTGCTTACTAAACCGACCGCGAAGTTCAGTTATTTAGATGGCCATAGTTTCATCATAATATAAGGAAAACAGAGAGAGTGGATAGGGCAGAAACGTTCACTCTATTACCGCCGTATTAGACTTTCAAGTTCAAAAACTGTTTTGCAAACGATTTCTTGAGACCCTTATTATGATGATACCATGCCAAAACGTTAAGAAGACAAAGCTTGCTATTTAAAAGTTCTTTTCAGATTTCAAGGAAGTATCTGCAGATATACAAGTGCTCTTTTGTCTAGAAACCGCTTCAACTCTAAACTGATAATGAGCCGTGCATACAATTTTATAAAAATCTGATTTTGTGCAGTCTTTTATTAATTACATTTGCTAGAAGCCAATTGATACAATATTAATTTTTAAAAAATCAAATGTGTATCATAGTCAAAAAATTATGCAGTCAATGGGCATTTTCCAAGGTATCAGTGACTGCATTTTGCGAAGGTGATGTACGAAACCCTTAAAGTTGCCATTGCACAATTTTTTAAAAAGCCAACTATGCCGCAATAGTGAAATAGTTTTGGAAACTAACATTTTCCTGAGGTATAAAGACCTACATGACACTGTTGCGTGACGAATTTGAACAATAATTACTGTTCTCAAACAAAATATATGTTTTCATATTTGTTATTAAATAATTAACCTCACCTAGTGCTATTGATTTTTCCATTTTCGAGCTCATCTCCGCTAATCCCCGTCCACGTCAAGTTGGCACCGGGATAGAAAAATCCCGGCTGACAGACGCATCGATATCTGCCTCGGTGTTGATGCTGTTCCATTTTCGTTCCGTGTTCGCTGACGCACTGAAAATGGAAAAACGTGATGATACGACCAGATATCAAACAAGATTGCTGATGAACATGACGTATTATACACACCATGAGTAATATTTGTTTTGGCAAATTCCAAATACATGCCAAAAATTGAATTGAACATTTTTTTAAATGTATAACACGCAAGATTATTAGAAGTTAATTATCATGCAAGTTAAATATTATCAGATTGCAGTAGCCTTATCATAACCGCGCCAGCCAAATGATTATAACGTGTACTACAATTTTAGATAATTAATTACGAATACGAAACCGGGAACAAAGTAGACTGACGCTTTGAAAGTACACCCGAAAACCGAGCCTCATTTACGGGGCGTAATACAAAATTGATTAATGTTCGTGATACATACGATGAACGATTTCGGGGGTGAGTTTAAGGTCGAAATAGAACCGCCTTTATCGGATCGTTTAATGTGAGTTTCTAGTTGCCGTCCAGCTGTGTCATTAATTTAATATCAGCTCGAACCGGACATCCGTTTACGGGTAACATTGGGTTAATAACATTACCGTGTTTTGGCTAATTTTAACTTTACTTTCTAGCTCAGTTCAGTTTTTTTTAAGTTTGAACAGAATAAGATAGAAAAATCTCGAATCTAGTTGTGGCGGAAACTATATACTGTCGTTTCGACCCCGGCACAACATCAATTTCATTGATTCATTTGCTTCCTACACCAGTGCAAAGACCGACTTGCCACATGCTCATAAAAGGACAGTTTTATTATCAAATCTGCTTTATAGCCTCCCATAAATTTTATCTGCTATCGATTTATTTGTTGCAACGATTCACTGCAATCTTTGGACAGGACAGAATTCTGGACGAACATAAATCAAATTGAAATTTTTCTGGATGATACATGAAACCAGCTCGCTTAATGGGTGAACTATTTGTATGCCACAAAATGCAACCAAGATTTATGTATGTAGGTTTGCGAATTTTTGTTGGGACTAGAAGAATATTTATTTTGTAGTTTTTTTTTTAATATAATTTATTTATTCATTACATACATTATGGATAAAGTGTAAACGGTATAAGGGAAAACTAGACAAAAAATATACACATAGACACATAGCGAAAAAAATATCATTTATAAATTGCATAATATCGATAAATATAAATACATAAATTCGAATATTAACATTCTACACTATGAGTCAATTTTATTTAGGACCCAACTTGGCTCTACTGCTAGTTGGTGTCCAAGATTTGTACTCTTCTCCTATAGGAGGCCAGCTTCTTGGGTGGTAAAGTGCCCATCTCTTGGGGAGTTAACCGTACCCCTTCAAGGTAATTCAACCTTTTGCAGAAGTGAGCAGAGTATTCAGAGATCAAATATTCTGTTGCTTTGTTCGCAAGATCTACAGTGGTCGATGTCTAATTTGCCTACTGTTTTCAGTTGATATTTCACCATGCATTGTCCAGTGAGCAGTATCTTCTGTTCATGTCAAGAAGTTGTCCAAATCTCTTTGCTGAGATGGATATGAACCTTTTTGCCTGTCTCAGACCCGGAATGGATCTCCAATGACCTAGCATTCAGTCCTTTTCCCATCTCTTCATTTCTTCGGAGACGTGGCTTTTCATTAGTCCACAAAAAGGCTCTGGGCCTTGAAAAGGTGTAACAGCGCCTTGTTTTGCGAACCGGTCTGTCTCTTCCTTACCTTCTATTTCTTGGCCCCCACATCAGGGTTACTTTGTTCCTCCCAGCTAGTTGCTTAAGGATATTTTTACCTTCCCAAATTAGCTGCGAATTGCACTTGATAAGTCCTAGAGCCTTTAGAGCCGCTTGACTGTCCGACAGTGCTCTCTTAAAAGGCCTCTTTTAGGGCACTCTTGGGCGCAGAAGTTTATGGCCAGCACTTTGGCTTGAAATATTGTTGGCGTTTTACCTTGCTAAGGAGAGTTTAAAGTTTGGTCCAGTTATTCCCAGGTCGACTTCTTCCGTTAGATTCGAACCATCCGTGTACCACAGGTATGCCTTTCCAACGCTTGCGGTAGCTTTGCGTTCTTTCGTGCATTTCATTCTTTTACAACCACCTTATATTGAAGTCAAAGGTTTACTTTGGCACTCGAGCTTTATCGACAGAAGGGTGCATAAGTCACCATTACCAGGTTCAAATGTTTTTGTCTGGAACAGCCTATAAGTATCTATTCTTGCTTTTTTTTCACATATAGGTATATACAGCAGTGCCTCTAAGGCTGCGGTGGGGCAGGTGGACATAGCCCCTCTAATTCCTATACAGATTAGCTTCCGTACTTTACATACAAGTTATTTGCTCAGTATTTGTTCACCATACCAACGAGGCGCAGGTGACGATAGGTCTGACAACTGTTCAGTAAATCCAATATACCATTTTTGGTCTTATCCCCAATGTTTTTTCCACGAGTTTGCGGCATGACCAAGTGGCCGTTGAAGCTCGTGATATTGTGTTGTTCAGATGGTTGTGCCAAGTCAGTTTGCGGTCCAGGGTGACCCCTAAAAACTTCATTCACGATAGATAATTGTGTGCAGTTTAGATTGGGGGCTTGTAGATCCAGTTTTCTATTTTTCGTAAACGGAACTAAGGTCGTTTTGCTGGAGTTTATGGAAAAACGCTTCAGTTTTTGGTTATATTCGGGGCACTTTACATGCGACGTGTTGTTATTACCGCCAGATCATGTGCGTAGCCTACGACAGCTATTTCGTCGCTTAGTCTGTTGAAGATGGGTAGACAGCATCTTCTCAAGTATCCAAAAAAGAGGCGAAAACTTTGTGGGCAGCCTTAAACCGTGGTGACAGTAACTGTGTCGCCGTTCAAGTCCACCAATACTGATCGATGTTTTAGCATGGCTTCTGTCCATCCTATGGTGGGAGGTTTTACCCCTCTACCCCAATCCATGAAGTCTACTCCGGTATTGATGGCGAGCACGTCGATAGGCAGACATAGCGTAATAGCAGAGCCCAGTCTCAGGATCTCAAGCGCGAAAGTAGAGATTGCTAATACTTGTCGGGCAGAGAAGAAACGGCTGCATTTACCATCCAACAAAGAGTACCTTGTCTCAGATTTTCTGTGCTATGAGCAAGCACCTTTGTTGCAACCGAAGCAAGGGTAGCGGCGTACTACTCCTGGCTAAACTCACACGCAGCTTACAAGTTTCGGTCAGAAATAGATTGTTTTATCGGAACAAAATTATCCAGTGGTAAAATACCTCCTCAATCACTAGTCAGATCTCCGGGAGGAGGTATCCGCTCGAACAAACTATCGCCAAGCTAGAAAATGTGATTAAGCATTCATATGCGACCTGGAACAAGAACTGCCCTTATTGTCCACGAGTTAAAACGCCTGAATATAAATCTGATAGCACTTAGTGAGACACGCTTACTCGACGAGGGGAACTTAGTGGAAAGGTCTTCCTAGTTCCTAGTGGATCCAGAATAATCCATGGTGTTGGTTTTGCACTTAAAAACAGTTTAGTATCCCGCCTTACGAAGCTACCTCATGGTGTATCAGAACGCCTGATTGTAATGAAATACCAACTACAAGACAAATCCTCCAGAGAGAATCAATGTAATGACACTTGGCGACACCCTAGGTCAGGTCACTGGCATATGATTGACTACGTTATCAAACGGAAGTACCTTAGTGAAGTCAAAATAGCGAAAGCACCTTAGTGAAGTCAAAATAACGAAAGCCACCCCAAATATTGAATGCTGGATAGACCACCGCCTCTTTTTTTCAAAAAAGTCCAAAACTAGAAACAAACTCTAGATTGAACATCTCCGATGACCATAGGTTGTAGAGAATCTTCGACATGACTATCACGAGATGATATCAAATCTACCCATAAAAGAGACGGATGACGTAGAGGGGTACTGGACAGGCTTGAAGGAATCACTATACGAAGCCAGTGTAGCAGCTATCGGGATTGCAGAAACCAAACAGGAAAACTGGAGGCGAACCACAAACAATCGCTATCGATAAGTTCTCGACAATTTCTCCTCACTTTTCACCATCGCTCAACGTTAGTCGCCAAAATTGCCACCACAAACGAACGTTTGCGGTGGCAATTTTGGCGACTAACGTTGAGCGATGGGTGGACGAGGTGAGAAGTGAGGGAAAATTGTCGAGACCTTGTCGATAGCGATTGTTTGTGGTTCGCCTCCTGGTTCCTTGAAAACTACCATCAAATAACACCAATCATCGAAAAAAAACAAACTTGTTTCAGGCCGCCCAAAACAATCCAAGAGACAACTCTGTTCAGGAAAGGTACGGCGCAATAAAACGGAAAGCTCGGCACCAAATCAGACAAATAAAGAATAAATGGTCGACAGACAAGGCTAAAGAAATACAAAGATTTGCCGATCAGCATGACCAAAAACAGTTCTTCGAAGCAATAGCCCATAAAGAATGTCTACGATATCAAGTAGCAAAAAGTATCCCCAACCAGAAACAAACACGACAACTTATTGAAAGATCAAAGCCAAATAAGAGGTAGATGGACAGAGCACTAGGTATATGTCTATTTTGAATCAACATGCAGAAGTAGACAACACAGTCATTACGAGTATGAGTACGAGATGGCAACCACAATGGACAGAGAAATATTTTCGGAAGTGATACGAAAGCCATCAGACGCCTCAAGAATAATAAAGCCCCAGGCGCTGACCAAACTCCAGCAGAAGTGTTTAAAGCTCTAATGAACGATGATCCAACTATAGAAAGAATCAAGCACCTCTTCAATCTAGTTTGGGTCTAAGAGAAAGTTCCACAAGACTTACGAGACGCGTATATTGTCAATTTATACAAAAATAAAGGTAGCGCTGCCAACTGCGGCAGGTATCTCGGAATATCATTGCTGTCGATTGGTGGAAAAATTTTGACCAAAGTTATGGCTGCCAGGCTACTGACGCGTGTAGACAGATTCAGACAGAATACTTCCAGAGTCACAAAGTGGCTTTAGACCGAACAGAGGTACTTCTGACCTGATTTTTACTCTAAGGCAACTTCAAGAAAAAGCTAAAGAACAGCAGTCTCACATTTATATGGCTTTCATCGACCTAGAGAAAGCAACTCAATCAATAGAGGTTATATGGAAAATAATGGCCCGATTTAAAATACCCCCAAAATTTCTGACTATCTGAGAGGAGCATACACGAAAACAATTGATCAATTTACTTGAGGGAGAACTACCAGAAACATCGACCAAGAAATCGAGCATCATCAACAACGCTGCTGCATCATTCTGGAGACTGAAAGCCAGAGTATTCGACAACCATGATCTTTCTTTTTATAAGTACCAAAATCGATGTTTATCGAGCTACAATAATACCAGCAATAACCTACAGCTATGAGACGTAGATCTCTTATAGAAGACATATCAAAATCTTGGAGAAGTTTTAACAAAGACAACTGCAAGAAATAATGCATATTGAATGGTTCTACAAAATTTCCAATAACCAAGTGCTGCAAAGAGTGTCGAAATCCAGTTGAAGTTTTCGAATGCTCAGACTGTGGCAGAGTTCAAGGATTAGAATGTTCAGCTATAGAAGAATTCACAGAAGATAAAGCACTTCAAACTTTTTAATATTCTGTATTGTATATATTCGGTAACGGATAAAGCTTATGCAAATAACTGAACAAAACGAAAAAGGAGCCACTTTTGAATATGTTCGTTGTTTTTAAGGAAAGTATTTTATATTTTTATTTGAATATAGGTCTGATCCAACACGTCAAAATACTCAGAAACCGTCCCATGAACAGTTTGGAAACCACTCTGTATACGAATTTCGGATTCTATGCAAATTTTTTTCTTTACGCAGAATCGTGACGGTACTTTGTATAGTTTCCTGCTGTGTTGGAACAAAGCTTATATGAGAGCAAATTTACAAACTTTTCATCGAATAAGTAAGCAAACCGTCATAAAACAGCCTTTCTGGTTTCATATGGTATATATCCTGATGCGCTTTTTATTATGAGGTGTCATCAAATGCGCCCACTATATTTTTAAAAGCTGCAAGAGCGATTTCTTTTGCCTCAAGTGCCTTCTCTATGCCTGTTACTAGACAATGGAGTGCACTGGCTATGGATTTGCTCTGCTTGGTAGGCAAATTATCTTGTATGAAGCGGTCTCACACAGACAGCCTCATTCCAGGCTAGAGGACCTAACCCAGAGTGACGCTAAAATTGAATATTATTTGAAGGTGTAGCTTTAGGATATTGTAACCCTTTTGCAGCAGGGCTGGAAAGATACCGTCCTTTCCTGTCTATCGCCCATTATATTCTATTTTTCGTGAATATTCTTCCTGCCAGCCTCTTTCGTTGGGGCGACTAAGCCCTTTTATATAAGAGAATATTCCACGATTGATCCCGGAAAGTGAGTCCCCAGTAAGACTCCTTACTTTTTTTGGTGTTGTAACAGTACTCTCCGTTTGGCTTTTTTAGAAGACCAATGCCGATCGAGTTGGTTTTTGACACGTCTTTTTGTAGACGCTGTGTTGGGGCTAACACATTTATCCCTTTACAGAACTGCCTCCAGGTTTTTCTTTTGGATTTTCTTAAGGCTATATTGTACTCTGTTATGGCAATCCTCTAGTTTCCCCAATCTCCAGTGGTTTTAGCCTTATTGGACGACTTTATGGCCTTGGCTTTTTAGGTCGCTTAATTCTCGGTCCCACCAATCAATCATCGTATAATTTGTACTTGGAGTTTGTTGTTAATTAATTGAAATTGCCTTTGAAAATATTAAGAAACCATTGGAGAAGAGGCTCAGACATGTTGTTCAAGTAATTTGGAGGTAAAATTCTAACTAAACCCCAAGGGAGCTGTAATTTTCCAGAAATCGTTGAGGTTCCAGTAATCTAAATTGATGGATGAATGAATGGATAAAATAACTTGGCAGTAGAAAAAAGTGATTTCAAGCCTCCATGACCTCTATTTATCCGACTAAGGCCCAGTTGTATAATCTCGGTTCAAAACAAAGTTCAAGTGACCTCAACGGGTACTTGAGCTTTCCCATTTGAAATACATTGCTGTCAGCTATTAATCAAATTCTATCAATTTTGACAGCAATGCATTTCAAAAGGGGAAGTTCAAGTATCAGTCGAGTTCAGCTGAACTCTGTTTTGAACCAAGATTGTACCGGGTGATTGTCCCACACCTATCTCACCTGTTTGAAGAGATAGTTACTAAGAAATTTCAAATGTGAAAGTTGTAGGTAATATTAGAAAGTTTTCAATAAAGTTAGGTACAAGTATACAGGGTGTGTCGCACAAGTGTGGCAAGGCAATGTTAAACTTTTTTAAATGGAACACCCCGTATATTATTGACCCATTGGATCAGCCTTTCAAGCCTGATTCCAAATATACTAGGTTTTTTAGGTTTATTCCTAATAGTTCGGAAACGAAAATAAGAAAAAAAAAGGGGTGAAATAATTGCATTTTTATTGAAAAAGGTGAAGTATAGAGACCACCAGTAAAATATAAAGGTAATCATACAAGTAAAAAATCCATATATGTATATATTATTTCTTCAAAATAGGATATTCAGAGGCCGGACTATGAGGAATAAACCTAAAAAATCTATAGTATGTTCGGAATCAGGCTTGAAAGGCTATTGGATTAGCCTTAATAATATACGGGGTGTTTGATTTAAAAAAGTTCAACTTTGCTCTGCCACACTTTCGCGACAAACCCTGTACATATACTTGTAACTAACTTCATTGCAAAATTTCTAGTATTACCTACAACTTTCACATGTGACATTTCTGGGTATTTCTTCAAACAAGTGAGATAGATGTGGGTGCAAAATATAGACAATCACCCGGTACAACTGTGCCTAAGGCCAGGTTGTACAAACCTGGTTTAAGTATGGTTCAAATGTTGAACTAAGCTCAAAGATGAAAACTGGTTGTAAAAACCTGGTTCAAATGCATGAGTTGAGCCTGGTTCCCCTGAACCGTCAAAAATTGAGGTTTAAGCCTAGCTTTTCGATAACATAACCCTTAATTCCAGACAAGATAGATTGTCAGTTGTGCTTATTTTTTGTGAATAAAATAAATTTTCAAGATGGTGATGTTCTTTTGGGGGGTCCTAGATGCTTTGCACTTTGTCCTTATACGAAGAAGGAATCAAATAACCTCGCTCACCGAACGGAAAGTAAAGATTGGGAGAGATTTAAAATTGTCCAAATTTTGTTTCCTTTCAAAATTTGAAAATTGGGAATTTGACAAAAAATTGAAATGGGTCGTATTGGTGGAAGAAATCATCTTGAATAATTGATTTTACTTTCGAAAGTAAAAATGACGAAACTAATGAAAACCCAAAGGTATGACATTAGGTTAGTTTGCCCTATTTTTTTTTGTCATTCTGGATCTGACAATAGACAAATTACAGTATTGCCAAAGCCTAACGCCAACAAGGTTCAATTTTTTCTTGTACAACGGATCATGATTTCTGAACCAGGTTCAACAGCTGAGCTAGGCTTTACTGAACTGGCGCTCAAACTTCGTTTGTACAACCGGGCCTAAGAGTCGATGGGTGAATCAAACTTTCACAAATGAATAAACTATAACCACTCAGATGTGCCAAATTATGGAAATGATTTGTCATACCTATTTTGTATAATACCACAAGAGAAAAAAATTTGTTGGCAAAATTTTCGACTGGTATGAAAGTTTGTTGCTTGGTAATTTCGCGAATGACATTTTTGACAAAACCACGAGCCGTCAGGCGAGTGGTTTTGTCAAAAATTTTATGAGCGAAATTAGCAAAAAGCAACAAACTTGAATGAAACCAAGAGAATAATTTTGCCTACATAATTTTTTCTTGAGTGGTATTCGGCTGAACTATTTCACGAGAAAAACAAGCCAAATTTACATTTGGAAAATGTATTTATTCTATCGCTAATGGTAAACTATCATTTATTCGACTCAAAACTCGTTGTTAAATTAACACTTTATTTGCAGTAGTGAAATCGAACAATTTTTACCCACTCATTTGTCAATTTTACCTACTCATACGTCAATTTTACCCACTCATACGTCAATTTTACCTACTTGTTCAAATCTTTTATAATAATTATAGTGTTTTTGACAGAAATCTGGTTATGTTGCATGATTGACAACACCAGAAATGTGTCAGTTTGTTAGGTACTTTGTCAACTTGTCATAATTTATATGAAATTTTAGCATATTTTAGTTTATGATTTTAGTAATTGTGATTAATAAAAAGTTGCTCAAGAATAAAATAGAATATTACACACGACGGTAAAAAGGCTTTACCTGTTCGTGGAATTAATCCACTCGCTCCTTCGTCGCTCGTGAATCAACGTTTTCCACTCACAGGTAAAGCATCTTTTTACCGTCTTGTATAATAAATAACTATTTCTTTAGGTGACATTTGTCAAACTTAATAGTTTTTTACCTTAACCACGCAAAATTTTGTCGCTGAAAAACCATCATGTTGGTTTTGCCCAGGTAAGAACAGGTAGAAGTTTTGT